AGGGATGCTGCTAAGGTTGTAACTGTGGAAAATGATCATATGTCACTTTATTCAGTACTGTTGTAACTTTGAACAGTCACTAAGTGAACTGTTGTAAGTTGAGGACTACCTGTACTGAGAAACACTTCACAGCCCAAGCCTAGGAATCACATAATATACAAAAGCCAAATTTGTATAAGTATTGTTTGTTGAATAGAAAAAATTACAATAGTGGAAGTTATACAACATTAATCCAAAAGCAGACCAATCATTTACAGTTTAGTACAAGATGCAAAGCCAGAAAACTGCAGTTTTATCAAACCATGGTTAAGGGGGATTACAGTGATTGTGAACCCAGAAACAAGCTGTCTCTCCCATGTATTTTTCTTCAATCCTAACAGGGACTTTTTATGGACAAATCCTGTCCTCTGTTCCAAGATACAGCCCTTCCAGTATGACAAAACCCCATTTTCTTATGCAGTAATAAATACACAACAATTTTGCAGATGGGTTAAAAATCAGTCAGAATGGAAACAGAAACATTCAGTGACAAATTATCTGGTTAGAATCAGAAAATGCAAGATAAATTCAGACTTGAAAGAGGCTAAGATACCGTACAGTAGTAGATCTTTAGATAGATAGATAATTTACACACTGATGCAAATTACTTTTTTACATCAGTATGTAAAATATTTCCATGATACTCTGCATAGGGGCTACCCTGAAAACCAAAAAATTAGTGGCCTAGCTCAGTCAGCTATAGATACCAGCTTTACAAGAGCCAATAATATGGGACGCAGAATTTGGATCTTGGACCCTCCAAAACGTACTCATGATGACAGGAACAATGTTCTGGTGATAAATAACCCATTTTTTCCTTTCCAGTGCTTCAGAACACATGATTTTTAGATCACTTCTTTCTTTTTTAGCCACTCACAAATTTTCAGCATGTTTGTAGGAAAATGAAACCAATGATATTCAAAAGAGCCACAAGGAAATTAAAATGATTAAGAAAAACTGAAACCTAAAATCTTGCTAGCATTACTAACAGTCTTGATATAAATCTTGTTCCATGTCATTCAGTTCTGTATCTTTTCCTTCTTGAAGACCCAAAGGAAAATTCATTTCAGAATTTATATTTTACACTCAAATACTTGGTAACAGTGTCTTTTACTAGCAATCAGATGTGTTAACTCAGTGGTTCTCAACTTTTTTAATGCCGCGACCCCCAACCGGTCATAAGTCGAGGACTACTCAACCAGTCGTAAGTCGAGGACTACTCAACTGGTGCAGCACCGTTTGCAGAATGGGACTTTTGGCGGGCTCAGCAGGCAGAGACAGCCTGGACAATTCCTATTGGCTTTTGAAAGCCAATAGAATTAGACTCTATTCAAGAGAGTCTATTATATTGGCTTTCAAAAGCCAATAGAATAAAAGGGAGTAGCACAGCTAAGGAAAAGGGGGGGGAAATGGCGGACTGCGTTGTTTGACGACCCCCGTGAAATGGTCGTTTGACCCCAAATGGGGTCCCGACCCACAGGTTGAGAACCACTGTGTTAACTGATTTGTATGGCATAAATGCTAAACGGGTATGGATGCATAGTTTTAACATTGTAAGCTCTCTGAACAAAACAACCCCAAACCAAGTGTTTCAAGCAAAAACATCTGTTGTAAAAGCTAGGAAAAATGAAACCCTAGTTACTGCAGACAAGAATGAGTTAGTCATCCTGTTTTAGGGAAGTCTTTTAGTATTCCTAATCATGATGAGATGTCAATTTTAAATTGATGCAAAACAGCGATTTACAGCTACTGAGGATGAACTCAAACACCCTCTCTAATCCATATTAGAAGGAAAATAAGCTCAATCTGTGGGGTGTGGAGGAATTTGCACATGCAGCAAACTGCCATGCATTGCCCCCCACAAACCTCATAACCTTTTGATACCCTTTGTCCCAAGGAAGCAGCCAAAAGATCACCCCCTTTTGACTTAATATCTTACCTACCTAAATAGTAAGTACCCCCTTATCTCTTCCTGTCTTTATCTCTTCTTGTCTTTATCAGTTCTTTCTCTTTTCTAATTTACCTGTATTTGTTTTTACCTGCTCTCAACAGGTAATGTGTTACTAGAAAATAATTGCTTATATGAAGGAATTTTTCAATTACTTTATGTCAACAACTAAAGGTTAAACTTCTAAATGTAAAATGTCAGCAGTTAATGGTAAAGTCTATGTATGTAAAAAGTATATAAAAAAACAATAAACTCAGAGTTGGAGAAGCTGTGTGAAGCTGTGTCATGCAGTTTCAAAACCTCTGCTCAAGACATGCCTGAGTCTTTTTCTTAGCATCGTTACAGTAGGGTGGGATGTTGCACCTTCAGGTCAACCTTGATTCCCGACTTCCAGGAATGCTTTCTTGGCTACCTTTTCAAAATGGCTTGCTTTCGCCTTCCTTTTTTTTTAGGGCTGAGAGAGATTGCCCTAAAGTCATCCAGCTGACTTTCAGGCCTAAGATAGAACTAGAATTCACCACCTCCTAGTTTCTACCCCAGTGCACCACTACCTTAAACTATTTTTCCTGGGATTAGTACCCAATGGTTTTTGCATTGCCCAGAACAGTCCTGGTGCCCATTCAAGGATCCACAGGAGTTCATTTCATTCAATTTGCAAATTTCTTTTCCCTGCTGCCAATTCCACTCCCCCATCTCTATCAGTATTCTGAAGGCCACCTGAGATCATCATCAATGTCAAGGATGAAACTTTGGCAGCCATGTGCCTCTGTGTTTCAACTTGCTTTTAGATTAAGGGGGTGGAGGTTTTACTTTCAAGTGGGTTAGCTGGAGAAACAAAACTTCTATGGTTCAGCTGAAGACTGTGAGAGCTTGAAGCCTTTTCAAGGACACCAGAACAGGTGTGGATTTAAAGCAGACAGTTCCCATAACAACACAGAACTTGTTTATATGGACTACATAAGACATTGGGGGTTTGGCTGGGAAAATTATTGTTTAAGTCTATGAATTGGTGTTAGAGCCTCAGCGTCAGTTTTGCTTTGACATAACCACGCAGTGTATTCAATAAATAGTAAGATTTTCAGATACAGAATAAGCCTGGAATTTTATCTGGATTCTTGAGCTGGATGTTGACAATCACTTCTATGAGCTGCAAAACTCTGGGACTACCAGCAAGGTGGTTGCAAAACCCAACCATTGGCACCATTTCTGAACTGCTTATGGAATGTTAAGAAAGCCCTCAATCTAGTCATAGACAAAAAGTGTGTATGTTCTTTTGCTCATAGGCGTTGTTTCTTATGGGTGGGGGAGAACTGTTAAAGCTTGTCCTAATGGGTGCTCACTGAAAATAACCCACCTAATAAAATTTCAGTGGGCCAGGTAGAGGAATGGGTGAAAACATCTGGATACTTCTTGGAGTTCTATTGTAATGTACACGTAGTCCTCAACTTACAACTATTCATTTAGTGACTGCTCAAAATTACAACAGCACTGAAAAAAGTGACTTATGACTGTTTTTCACATGACCTTCACAGCATCCCCATAGTCATGTGATTATAATTCAAGCACTTGGCAACTGGCTCATATTTATGACAGTTGCAGTGTCCTGGGGTCATGTGGTCACTTTTTGTGTCCTTCCAACAAGCAAAGTTAATGGGAAGCCAGAGTCCCTTAATAACTGTGTTACTAATTTAACAACTGTAGTGATTCACTTAACAACGGTGGCAAGAAAGGTCATAAAATGGGGCAAAATTCATTTAACTATCTCATTTAGCAACAGAATTTTGGGCCCAATTATAGTCATAAGTCCAGGCCTACCTGTACTACTCTGTATCTTTGCCAGAAAAGCCAACTTTTTTGATGATATTAGGTATTGAATTAAAACTTGGGATGGTTTTCCCTCCACCCATTGATCCCTGGAAAATTATTTGTAGTAGATAAATTTTTCTTCAACTCTACTCTGTGAACTTTCTTGACAAAAATATCAGAGTGGTTTATTACCATTGTCTTCTTCCAGGATCAAAGCTGACATCAGCTAGGCTTGCTATCCATCCAAACATGCTTAGTTTTTCAAGCTCAGACAGAGCCTGCAACTTTCCTGGCCTTTATGATTAATAATATAATATGTATTTTGCATTTCAAGGGCACAAACCCAACAGTTCGGTTTTCTTCTTCTCAATGAGGTGATTTGACATCAAAAGGCCGGAGTGGAATGAATTAGCCAATTTAAGGAATTCTCCACCCTCCTCTTCAAACAACTACTCACAGTAACTTCTGCAGAATTTGGCAACACACTATAGTTGCATTCACACAACACATTTAAATAGGTTACTAAATAAACCCATTTTCTAGATTTATACACTGCTATAAATTAAAGTATTAAATGATTCAATGGGATCAATTCTCAAAATACCCTTATCCGATTCCTACAGTTGATTTAACTTGGTCAGTAATGCAGTTGCAGCTGTATAATCTGTTAAATTTGCCTAATTAGTGCTTAATCTCCGTTTGTTTTTACAGCCTACGCTGTGCTGTGTAAACCCAGCGTATTGATGGTTTAAGGTCTGGTTCAAATTCCAGGAAACGGGTTCCTTCGGGGTTAACATGTTGTGTGAAGGCACCACGAGAGTTTGAATTCATCTAAACGCAGCGAACACAACCTGTTGAACGCGGCGATGTGAACCATTCGGGCCGTTCCAAAGTTACTTTTTCCAGAAGACAAATCGACTTTCCTTGGGTTTTTTTTTTCTTTGAAAATGTTTGGCTTCTTATCCAAGAAACTTCTTCAGTTGCCTTTTGGAAAAAGTACCTTTGGGAGAACCACGACTTGGATGATTTGAGAATTTTCACAGACATTCCTTCCTCCCTTCTTCCCTCCCTCCCTTCCTCTCTCTCCTCTTTTCCTTCCTTCCTTCCCTCAGCATCCCGGGATCTCTCTCCAAAACTTCCCAGACTTTTCAAAAAGTGCCATATCCGCGCCGCCTAGAGAGAGAAAGGAAAAGGAGGCGGAGCAAGAGGGCTTTGAAAGGCGAAGTCCCGACGCGGCTCCACCTTAACAACCCTAATCCGAGCCCAGCAGGCCTCTCCCTCCACACAGGGGCAGCGTCGCCCATCGCCCGTCCGCTCTTTCACTTGTGCGAGCCCCCCTTTTGTCCGCCAACGACCACCATGGTGGCATCCGGCGGTCCCAGCACGGGCCAGACCTGCGGGCTCGTCCTGATTTTCGCCGTGCTGTTGCAATCCATCTGCGTGGCAATCACTTTCCTTTATTTCACCAACGAGCTGCAACAGGTCGGTGCGAAGTTGATCGGTTCCGTCTTGCAGAGCGGGTGGGGGAGAAGAGAAGGGAAGGTTTGCTGGTTGCAAAGGAGGATTCTTAAGACGACCCCCGCCCCCCACCCCCGTTCTCCCGCCGTAAGCTTGCAAGATGGGTCCCTTCGGATGCCTGCCCTTTGCAATTCCATCGGGTTTAATTACTGCACGTCGAGGAAAACGCAGGATCCGATCTTTTCAGTTAGATCGCTGGTGACCTGGCCCGGATCGGGTATTAAAACAAAGCCCACGCATGCCTCTGGGTTACTCGCCCAATGCACCACGGCTACTTTTTAATTTCTCAGCTTGCCATTTCGTACTCCCAGATCTACAACTTTCTGGTTCCTCTCTCGAGTCAGGCCTATTCGCCCTACCGAGTAGTCGCTCCCCCTCCCTCCCCCGGTGCTTTGTTAGCAAAGACAAAAAGAGCTTCGGGAACGGCCGAATCCGCCAGTCGCCCCTTTCTTTCCTTGTCCACAAACGATTAAGCCCCATGGAGCCTAGCGAGATTACATTCGCAAAAACCGTTCATGGCTGCGATGCAAGCAGGCCGAAATCCTTTATAGGTTGTTTTATTTGGGGGGCTGGGGGAAGGAGAAAAGTCAATGGCGGGAGATGGTCGTGATTTTAGCGGGACTTAGCTAACCAAGAAGACTTTGCTGTCTCCAGTTACTGTACTTATTTGTCAATAAATGTGCAGCGCCTGCAAGTCCAATACTCTAAATAAATGCACAGCGCCTGCTGTCTGCCATCCTGTGTTTCAGTGAATCGTGCATTAAAGAACGGCTTTAAGAATGTGACCTAACCATGTTTAAAATAAGAACCACGAGCCACTTCTTCCCCCGTATGAGAGGGTAAAACTCCACAATAGGCTGCAAAATGATCGGCCTTCTTTTTTTTTTTTTTGCCTCAGTCTTAAAAGTGGACTCCCTTTGTCTGAGAGCCTTCGTGGGTTTTCTGCCATACGTTGGCTTCTCGTGTGAGATTTGAATTCTTTACAGAACCACAGAGATTGCGTTGGGCTGGGCTGGGTTGTTATAATGCAGAGTTTCTTAAACTTGGCAGCTTTCCCAGAATTCCCCAGCAAGTGTGCTGGGAAAGTTTGAAAAACAAGTTTGAAAAACACTGGTATGTGCCTATTCAGCATGTAGGGAGCAATCTCTTGGTTTGTTTCGTTCTTGGTGGACTTCTTTTTCAAAAAACAGAACCTGGGAGAATGGAATCTAACCATTGGCCATTCCCACGAGATAAGATTTCTATTTCTGCAATAGGCGATATACAGTAATTTCTTCCTACCAGCCAGTCGTAACTGAATTTCCCTGAAGCAGTTCCAGTCTTGTCTTGTAACACTGAGCAAAATGTATGTGCAAAACTTGTTGTATTGCACAGGTCTTGCTGCTGGACTGAATGATCTTACATGGTTCTGGGTTTCTCTGGGAGAAAACTGAATGTTTCACTTATTGCAAAATAATAACTAAGCAGAAAGTAAGCCTTTTTTGATATTACTGCCTGGAAAAGTTAAAAGGAAAAAAAACTTGGTTAAAAATTTTGTTATTAACTCCTATGGGACTGTTTCCAAATGAAAAGCACAGATGAAACTAACTCACTTTGTGTGCAAGCTCCATTCTGATGTTCCAAGCAAGGAGGAGGGAGCTAAGCTTGCATTTGTTTCCACAACTCAAACACATTTCCTGCAACCAGCTGATCAGGAAGAGCAAGGGAGTTGCCCATCCTGCCTCCTTCCCTGCTTTTCTCAGTGGTTTTCTAAATCATTGGTTGGATTCACATATTGCTTTTGTTTTTCTGGATCCTGGCTTGTTGAAGAAGGCAGGAGAATGTGGTACTCTGGATGCTCAAGACCTCTAATGGCTGGAATCACCTATGCAGTGCTCAGATAAAAACACCCTTTCTCTCATCTCAGCCTACTGAGGAGCAAATAGGGACGGGGGCTGCAATTTGAGGCCCCAGCCCCCCTTTTCCATGGCATTCAGAGGCCATTGCAATCACAACTGCTGGAGAATTGGGAGCAGGAAATAGCACTTTTGTCCTGCTACAAACTAGTTTTACATAGTGCTTTGTAATAAACAGCACCCACCCAACTCTTTGAAACCCAAGTAAAACTAGCACATTAATCAGCGAATGCTGCCAAAGGTGTATCTCTATTATCCCATTTTTCTCAACCACAAACTTTGAGTAGACCAACTACCTATCTACCTACCTACCTGAGTCACTGAGCAGATTAAATATGGCTCCAAGACTCTAGGAAAAACTTCAAGGTACTATGTGATACCTGGTACCTTGGTGGCCAAAACAAGAATGATGTATTTCTTGTTTGGAGAGAAATAGTATCCTTATGAGGTGTATATGCCTTATTCCTCCAGGGGTCAAAACAGGTGTTCTTTGTTTTTCCATTATGTACACTTCTCAACATTGAACTACCACCTATAACCTTTGGTCAGCAGATTATTGCAAAGTGTCCCAGATAGGCCTTTGCTCTTTAAACAGTGGAAGGTTATTATTTTGCTGAAGACAAAATGCTCCAAAGCGGGCTATGTTCCATGTCCAGGTCCTGTTATATTCTTTTGGGACTTGGCTGGAGGAAGAGATTGGGTGCAAACCCGGCACCTTTACCCACGCTTAACTTAATGAAATAAGCCAAGGATATTAGCCAAATAAGCCAGGATTTTTGAGAGTACTAGATCAGAGGCTAACCGATGCAACCTGTACTTGCCCAACACTGGAGGCTAAAATGTGGTAAATTAGGTTTGCTTGCAGTTAACTTCAGTGGAATCTGATAAGAGAAAGACTGTGCTGCAACTTGCAGCGTCTTGCAGCCCAAATATTGTTTATGCAGCTTTTGTGGTAGGTGATAGGATTTGGTGCATTCCAGGATGTGTTTAACAATGCACAGGCTCAAGTTACTTATTTTGTTCGTTTGCATAATTAAAACCTTGTTAGGCTGGACTCTGGAGAACTGTAAAGCTAGATTTGGGTGGAGAGGAACAAGGAAGATTGACTCTTTCCTTCCCAGAAAAAAAGATTATTCATCCTACCACTGTTACTTCAATCAAGATTGTGGTTTTTCCGTAGTTCCTATGAAATGAAATACAGGTAGAGTATGAGAACACATTAGCTTTATTATTCAGTAGATACTGCAAAGTTTGTCTTCTCCCATAGTAACATACACACACACACATACACATCTAGAAAAAGACAAGCACTGATATTCAAGGCTCATCTATCTATTACACACACACACACACACATGTATGTATGTATGTATATATATATATGTATGTAGGTCTTTGGTTGTTAGGTTTTCTCCCGCGTAAAATTGGAAGTGTTGGAAGCGGGAGAAAACCCGAACAACCAAAGACCTACATACAAACACCCGCGAAAACCTCAGAAAACATATATATGTATGTATGTATGTAAAATATAAATATATATGTGTGTGTGTGTGTGTGTGTGTGTAAATGTAATAGATGAGCCTTGATTATTTGCGTTTTCATTCCACACCAGCCAAATAAAAGGGTGTGTTCCCATTTAAGAAGCTGTCCCAAAGCCCACTTTTGCTTATCTTTACACATTTTCCAGTGAAAACAAGTTTGTTGAACGGAAGCCATTATTGTTCTATCATAATTGATCTATCTGTTGCTGCACTGGGAATTATTGTAGCTTTGGTTGTAATTTTTCTTTAAAAAGATAAATTTTCAGGCTTGTAGAGAATAATTTTAAAGTGTATCCAGTAGTAAAATGGGACTTTGCTTCATAGTACTCGGTTTCATTTAGCACTTGGGAGGGTGGGATGGGGAGTTAAAACTTCCTGTGATTGTTGTTTTTAATGATTTTCAGTATCCACACACGGGATTATAAAATGGGGTATTTTAAATTAAATATGAAATAATCAGTGGGAAAAAATAGAAATAATTCTTACATTATTAACATAGAACATGAATCAGGGAATCTATTGCAGTGTTTCTAAACAATTCTTGAGATAGGCCCGTTCTATTATTTGTGTTCCTCCAGATATTAGACTGCAATTTCCATAATCTTTCCCCATGGCTACAATGGGAGGTGGAATTTAACTGTATTGTTGCTGTTCCCGAGTGGTGGATATTAAAATTCAGTTTGTTCTGAAGCCTACATATATTTGAACTATCCCTTCATCATACAGTTGCCTCTCCTGATCTTCTTTTTCTTCTTGACATCTATTTCCTGAAATAACAATTGTTGAATTGTCTAGGCAGCAACTAAACCCAGCTACATCACATTTGAAATGCTTCATGCTGTGTGACTAATTTCTAACACTTCCCAAAATGCAATTTCTGGGGAACTTTGCTGGTGCCTGAGTACAATTATATAAACATAGCATTTCTTTCTTAAGAGAGTAGAAAAAATTTCCAAGGAGGAAGTAGTATATCATTAATTATTATTATTAAATTTATTTGCTGTGTATTTCGTCATGGAACTATTCTAGGTGAATATGCATTGCCAGACATGACAGTTTTCTGAGTATTGTGAAAATTTGTGCATATTCTAGCTCTGAGAGGTGGAGCTTGACTGCTGAAAGGTTTCTGATTGGCTGCCCATCTTTGAGCACTGGCCTATGACCATTTAGGGCCTGATTTAAAATCTGAATCATGGAATTCATTCTATTCTGCAGGTGAGATGAGAGGACTTCACCTGCAATTCTAGATACAATTGTGTTCAGGAACTCCCTCTGGCTTATTCTTAAATCAGGCACATGGAATTACTCTTTGCCACTTCTACCAGAATGCCATTTTTGGTTTGAATCTTAAACTAAAATAGGGCACACGTGTGTGTCTGAGTTAAAACAGCTTTTAACTTGTATGTTATAGGAGAAAAGTAAGCTGAGCTAGAAGGAGGAGTTAAATGCGTTATCACTTTGGAATCATTGCATTACCACAAGAAACTCAAATCTACCTCCCCCCCTCCCTGAATTCCATTATCTAGTG